GACCCCATTTCTATAGCTTTTATTCTATTCTTGTGCTTCTTCTGTCACACACAATGTTCACTACCAAACTTTAAGATTGGAACTAACATACCTTTGTGAATTGCCATACGTGTCGTTTTTGACACATTCTGACTTCCCACAATAGAGTAAAACGCCCCATTTACTCTGTGTAGGTACTGCGCTATTTACCTTGTCTATCTACCACTTCCTTGTTGTCTTATTCTTGACACGGAATAGTGTTTTTATTTTATGTTTACGTGGTAGAGCCATGCTGCAGCTATATTAGTAGTATAGTTGTAGCACGAATGGGTCGGCTCGACCGGGGAAGGACCACGCGCTCACAGAATACCAGGCTAAAATGGCAGCTTGACACTGCTGTGTTTCGTATGGTGAGTGTAGATAACCGGAGACCCATTTTACTGGAAAAGAGGCATTCCATCTTGGTCCTCACGGGTGACGACGCATCTGCATTTTGATTCTATATTGAGGACAAATGTAGATGATGTCTATGCGTCACAGCAACCACTTACCATCAGGTGGATTGCGTGCTCGTTTCTCACCCTATCCTGTAAAAAAAATTAATATTTTGTATATAAGTGCCCGTTTACAAATTTGTTACTATGACCAGTGTCTGAAGATATCTTAATATTAATGGCTTAACCTCGACCTAACCATTTTTTTCTAAAAATAATTAATTATTACTTTTGTCTGCAGCCTTATAAATAATAATGTCAAATGAAAATAAATGTTGATTATTTTTGTCAGTAACTCTTAATTTGCAATTTTACTACGCGCGATATTTTGATTGTATTGCGCACTATCTTGAAGTAATATCCATATCGTTCAAACATCATCTCTATGGTTGGTAGTCCACCACCATGCGTTTCACCAGCATTATTCTGCAACGCACAACCGTATTGTGGAATCTACTGTGCCAAAGGTTTTTCTTCACCGATATGACTTAGTAGCCTTTGTGATAAGAGCCATAATAAAAAGCGCACAAGTGCGAGTCGGACTCGCCCATGAAGGGTTCCGTAGCAGAAAGTAACATAATTTACGATTTATGACGTATTAAAAAAAACTATTTACTAGATCTCGTCCAAACCAATTTTCGGTGGAAGTTTACATGGTAATGTACATCATATTTTTTTTTTTAGTTTTATCATTCTCTTATTTTAGAAGTTACAGGGAGAGGGGGGACACATTTTACCACTTGGAAGTGTCTCTCGCGCAAACTATTCAGTTTAGAAAAAATGATATAATAAACCTCATTTTTGAAGACCTATCCATAGATATACCCCACACGAACAAAATTTATTGTTTTTTTTTTTCTATATTTGTGTAGAAATTTTAATGCGGTTCACAGAATACATCTACTTACCAAGTTTCAACAGCATAGTTCTTATAGTTTCGGAAAAAAGTGGCTGTGACATACGAACGGACAGACAGACACAGACAGACGTGACGAATCCATAAGGGTTCCGTTTTTTGCCATTTAGCTACGGAATCCTAAAAAACCCTATTCATATACGCCCTTTTGCCTCCTCGTCTATAAAAAAAAATTAATTTATTTACTTATAACTTCTATTACACTTAATAAAAAAGTTTAACGGAGGACTTGAGCTGAGGAAAAAAATGGGTGCAATGTGCATGTCTTATACGAATTATATTATATACATAAAATTTAAAGTAACATAACAGGGTGATACCAGAAAAGAATAAATGAGTCTCATCACCTAGTAAAAATATTACTAGGTGATGAGACTCATTTATTCTTATAAACTCATAAACTCTTTGATACCACCCTGTTACGTTTTACTGCAGCTCCTAGCAAAATTAATTAAAATACAAGTAAAAATACTTTATCTTATGGAGGCCAATCACGTAACGATGGTAGTACGGAGAATACGGACCATAGATTGAATAGTCGACACTTCGATTTGCACTCATGTGTATAGACTTGGTCAAACAGACGTTCTGCCATAAACGCTGATTATTCGTTGTTTGTCTTTTGTAGAAAGTGATGTCCTCTACTGCGTAAATCATAACATTTAAATGTGGCTGTTTTTTTTTGCCTGAGGTAAATACTTTTTGGCTTTGTTAAGTAGTCGTTCATTGGCAAAAGTTCTAAGTTTTCGATTAATTACTGTACGCCGAACTCTGCGCTGACCACAAACACATCTCTTTCATACGGCTTTATAAACCATATCATAAACTTTTCTATTTTTTTTTTTACTTTTGTCTATAAAAAAAGAAAAAAAGCGTCTATACAAGTTACGTTAGTCTTCACGCCTGTAACCCTTGTTAATTTGCAGATTGATTTGCTTGGTCGTTCGGACCGTCAAAAACATCAACACTCACGCTATGCCCGATGCGGTCGTGTTGAAATGTTCGATGAACTTTTCATTGAAATCAAATTTGGAACATTTATGTAGTTTAATAGCCGTGGTAGCTCAGATGGTTAGCGCTCGCTGTAAATATCACAGTACGCGAGCAACCCGGGATTGATCCCCGCCGGCACTAATGAAATTGATAATTGCAATTTTAAGTGCTGATTTACCACGTGCTCAGCGGTGAAGGAAAACATCTTGAGGAAACCTGCATGTCTGAGAAATAAGAAAAAAAATATTTCGAAGACATGTGAAGTTCGCCAACACGCATTGGGGCAGCGCGACGGACACTTCCTTGCCCTAAAACCCTCTCAGAAATGAGAGGATGCTTGTGTCCAGCTGTGTGACGTATATAGGCTGTAACTTTAACTATTAACTTTTATGTTACTACTTAGTGATGATAATACATTAACTGAAATTGAATGATATACAACTTTGAAATAAGTTTGTCGGTACGATACGCGCGTTACCTACTGTAAGTTAATTGTACTATGCCTTTAACCTTGGCGCAAGTATAAGCAATGAGTTGACAAAGTTTTGGCGCAATCTGATGAACGGTATTTCAGCACATAAAATATGAGCAAACAAACATAAATTTTTACATGTAAAATGTTTATTATGTTAAATAGATCTGACTAAAAAATGACATTCGTTTTTCACACACCAATGTTGTTCAAATATTATGCCACAATGTCGCCTTCCGCTTCAACATGTTATGAGTAAAATTTTGTGTGTTGTTGTATAGTTCGTTGCGATTCTCCCATTCTTTGTGACTTCTCAGTTTTCACTAAAACGATAAGTGATAATTATTCTCAAAGCTGAAGACCGAGTGAAGTCTTGTTTCCGGGGCACCTGAGATTTTGAGTGAGATTGAGAGGTTCTATGGGCAGCTGTACACATCATCGTTGGAGCCACACGCAAGTGTGTGTAACGATCCAAGAGCGCATCTTATCCGACACTATTCCGAAGATATCCCGGACATCAGTCTGAGCGAGATTAGAATGGCTCTCCAGCACCTTAAAAAAGGCAAATCCCCGGGCGAGGATGGAATTACAGTGGAGCTTCTGAAAGCGGGTGGAAAACCGGTACTTGAAGTCCATCAGAAGCTCTTTAATTCCGTCCTCCATGGTGGCATTACACCAGAGGCGTGGAGCAGAAGTGCGGTGGTCTTGTTCTTCACGAAAGGTGACAACGCTCTCTTGAAGAACTACAGACCGATTTCCCTTCTGAGCCGCGTCTACGTGCTGTTTTCGAGAATCGTAATGACTCGAATCGAATCGAACGAATCGTCTCGCGCGCAGACTTGATGACTTCCAGCCTCCCGAACAAGCCGGTTTCCGAAAAGGCTTTAGCACCATAGACCACATACATACCCTTCGGCAAATTGTACAGAAGTTCGAGGAGTACAATTTGCCACTATGTCTGGCGTATGTGGACTATGAGAAAGCCTTTGATTCCGTCGAAATTTGGGCGGTGCTGCAGTCCCTTCAGCGATGTCAAGTTGACTGTCGGTATATCGAAGTGCTGAAGTGTGTACAGTAGAGCTATGATGGCTATCTGAGTACAGAACCAGAGTACGAAACCTATCCAATTGCAGAGAGGTGTAAGACAGGGTGATCCCCGAAACTCTTCATCGCTGCATTGGAAGACGTTTTCAAGCTTCTGGACTGGAAAGGATACGGTATTAACATCAATGGCGAGTACATCACTCACCTACGATTTGCCCACGATATAGTCCTTATGGCAGAATCGCTGGAGGACCTAAGAACCATGCTCAGTAACCTCAATAGTGTCTCCCAACGAATAGGTCTTAGGATGAACATGGACAAAACAAAGATCATGTTTAATGTCCATGTCACACCTATGCCGGTAGTTGTTGGGAGCACTAAGCTCGAAGTTGTTGACGAGTATGTTTACCTGGGACAAATAGTCCGACTAGGTAAGTCCAACTTCGACCGAAAGGTCAATCGACGGGATCAACTCGGCTGGGCAGCGTTCGGGAAACTACGACACATCTTCTCGTCAGACATTCCTCAAAACCTTAAAACGAAATTGTATAACCAGTGCGTGTTGCCAGTGATGACTTACGGATCTGAGACGTGGTCCTTCACTGCTGGCCGTATGAGGAAGCTCATGGTCGCTCAGCGAGCTATGGAGAGGGCTATGCTCGGAGTTTCTCTGCGTGATAAACTTAGAAATGAGTATATCCGCAGTAGAACCAGAGTAACCGACATAGCCCAACGGATTAGTAAGCTGAAGTGGCAGTGGGCCGGCCATATAACTCGAAAAACCGACAACCGACGGGGAAGAAAAGTTCTTGAGTGGCAGCCTCGTACCGGTAGGCGAAGTGTAGGGCAACCCCCCACGAGATGGAGTGACGACCTGGTAAGACATGCAGGAAGTCGATGGATGCAGGTGGCTCAGGACCGTGCTTTGTGGCATTCCTTGGGCGAGGCCTATGTTCAGCAGTGGACTTATGAAAGCTACTAAACTACGCTAAAGACACCTAATGCCGTCACTACGACGAGAAAATGAGCTTGTATATTATTTAAAATTGCAGTGCTTTTTACAATAAAAGTTCAGACTTAATACGGATCGTTTTTGTTTCAGAGTGCTCCAGGCTTCGCCCGCCTTGACCCTTAACATCTACACTTTGGTCAGCTAAGCGGCTTAACAAGATGGCGCAGGTCGGAGCCAATATGGAGTACCAAGAATACAAATGGGCTTACTCAATTATGGATTCTTCAAAGTAATTTACACTTTTTTTACATTATATTTACCTTATATTACAGTAAATTGGTAAATGAGATGAACGAGTAAGCTTCGTAAGGATTGTTTAATTAATGTCCAAATTTAAAAATTGTTGGAGAAAATTATAAGGAAATATTAACACAGGAGTACGTGAGAATGGAAGAATGGAAGTAGGAACGATTTTTATGTTTATGCTAATTTCTAATCGGTCACTGTGATCCTAAGAGCACCATTACTTATCTCATTCAAGGATAAATATGAATTTTGTTACCATTTATTTGGTTTTTGGTTATTCACAACCACAAAGAGAAACCTAGTAGTGATATATGATATTCTCATATTTTTCTCCGGTACTTTACGAAATTGTTTCCAAAAAACTGACCATAAAGCGATTGGACAGCCATGAAGAAGTACACAACACTGTCTGACACCTTTACGGATGCTAAACCTGTTCGTATAGGCCCAGTCAATTCTGACACAAGCACTAGAGTCCCTATATTAGCCCTGCGCTCAACCCAAACGAGGCTCGCGTTTACCATAAAGCAACCCTATCCGCTCTGTCATAGACCTTTTCAAGTCTAAAATGCACAGAAAACTTTCTAGTTTTTGGCTAAAAACTTCTCCGTGACCATGCCCAAAGAAAAAATTCTGGTCTGTACACTACTACACCGTACACGACGTATGGGCCATTATAATGTTAAAATGTTTATAAACAAAACGTTATGACAGCTATGAGGTTATTTCGTTACCAACTAAAGAAAGTAGAGAGAAGTTTTAAAAGAACGTTAAGATCCCTAAAGACATGTTGATGTTGAGGCGCCATTGAAAAGTCTGAAAAACAATATCGGTACATGAAATTAGAGAGCCCTATGTTTGTCCGTGGTCTATAATTAATTAAAGGGTCGTGCTGTATAGCGAAAACCCATAATGAAATGCTGAGTAGACGAATGTACCTCGCAGGCGCTCTATCTCTTTCTTTCTCTGAAGAAATTACTTTTTTGTTGTGAACGTATGGTACTATGGGTATATTATCGATAACAATATTTGGTTAGGTTACGAACATTTCCATTGGTTATATTTATTTACCGCTCAGAGTCAGAGTATGAATCGTTACTCTGAACCCAATTTGTATGCAAATAAACGTAACCGTTGTGAAAGTATTTGCGAAACTCCGTGATTGAAATTTGGTCAACTTTTTGCTTGGGCCATGGGTGCCTGTTCTTATTTGTATTTCAAAAACATTTGAGCTCCGTGCAAAATGCGTATTTGCATAGCGTAGATAAAAGAAATGGTTTATTAAGCCTCTTTTCCTTTAGAAAAGCAGGTTGTTATAATAAATAACAATAATATTATAACATATCGAAGCGTTAGTAGCCTTATGGCAGGGCGCGGACCGCGAACTCGAAAGGTCGTGGGTTTGAATCCGCCATTCGACTACTGTCGTGAACCACTTCTAACACAAGCATTTTAAGCTTACCAGAAGTGGTTAAAGGGAATATTAGTAATTTTTAATGATCTTAGCATTACTAGTATTTTTAATAAATTAAAAAAAAAACATTAAATGATCTAGATTTTAGACACTGCTACATTGGGATTGTATCTTTTCTAATTCACGCTACTCACACGTCTCCTGTATAAATAAAATGATAGAGGTTTGCAGTTGTGCGCGCATCACGGAAAAACTACTGAATAGATTTCAATTAGGTTTTCTAAGTTTTATTTCTTAAACACTTGGTCCTTATCTAAAAAAAATTTCGATATCTTTATTTAATATAAAGTTTTAAGAAACAAGGATTTTATAAACACTACGTATTCAGTGATGTGTGGTGTCTTCTTGATATATCAAGCACCGATATAAATAAAATTGTAGTCTGTAATATCGAAATAAGTGGCATCTAAGAAGATCTGGGGGAGATTTGCATGCATGATATTAAGACATGAATAACATTATTTTTTTTAATTTTTGTCTATCCGTCTGTCTAAAGATTGAAAGATTTTTACATAAAAAGATCTTTTAGGTCAGATGGGTTTTTATTCAAAATAGATGCTTATAAATTATTACTCAACACAATTTTACAACAAAACTATGAGTGTTAAAGGATTTCAATTTTTATTTTAAATATTTTTTTCATGTCGCTAAGTTTAAAGTGATTGTTCGATAATTGAACTACTAGCCCAATGACCATTATTATAGATCTGCAGGTGTGTTATATTTCTATGCGGAATAGGTCCCAGGTAAAAGGTAGTATCTGATATAATATTAATGTGATAGGATCAAAGGTAGGCAACCCGTAGGCACATAAAGAGACAGCTACTGTAAACATGTTGCAAAATTTCATGGACAAAAAAAGAACTGCATAAAAATCCAAACCTCTATGTAAAATAGGTTAAAGAGGATTGGTTTGTATTTTAGGTCTGATGTTTGTAGTTTTTGTAGTTATTCTTTCTGTTGCATGGAACTACTTTTTTGCTGCATAGATTTTATAAAAAGCAAAAAAGAAAGCAGACATCATCATTTCTTTTCTACATCTACATTATGAGATGGTATTTTGTTTACATCGTTTGTCCCACAGATTACCCCCTATGGTTTGTCCACACGGAAAAAGTTGATAATGTTGACGTAGATACTTAATCAGTTATAAGGTCACCATCATGGGTTTGTCCACTCAGTTCGGTTACAATGACTCGATTAGGATCGGAGCTAGTTCGGAACGGCTCAGTTAAACGGCGCAATTATGAGTCTCTGAGAGATGACTCCATATTTGTGTCATTTGTATTAGTGACTATTGGTCTATGAAATTTTTCAAGGAACTGCATCTGCAACTGGTCGTTGCCGCTGTTGACAAGAGAGCTGGTTTCTCGCTTAGAGACATTAGTATAGACATTCAGCGAGGAAATGCAGACGTTCAAGACAGCATTCTTAGCACAATTTTTATGAAAACCTTAACGCAAACGCTTACTCTATGATTTATAAAATAATAGAACAGCTCAGAAGCATGAACGGTCAATATTTAACTTATTTAAATCCATTATGTCATACTGAATAGCGGAACTAATTGGATGTTTTATGTCCATTTTGTTATAACGTAGAAAATGCTAGAAAAAAGTGGACAAACACACCATAATCTCAATCAAAAAATGTTTTGACGAAAACTGATGCACTCATTTAATCTATACATACAAATAAATAAAATTGAAGTGTCTGTTTGTAATGTTAAAATAACAGCTTTTTACTAAATGCATATGAAAGTATATACGGTAGCAATAACAAAAATAATTTTTAAATTTTTGTCTGTCTGACTATCATTCTGTTTGTTCCGGCTAATTTTCGAAACGGCTGGACCGATTTTGACGGGACTTTCACTGGCAGATAGCTGATGTTATAAGGAGTAACTTAGGATACTTTTATTTTACAAAAAGAATTAGGGTTCCGCGCAAAAAATTAATACCCATAAAATAGTAGTAAGCTCCACGCGGGCGAAGTTGCGTGGAACAGCTAGTTAAAAATATAATCTATTGACATAAAGCATTGCACCAAAGTGTCTTACACGGCTAGTTAGCTAGGCAACGTCGCTAATTGGAGAGGGCTGGACGGACCATTATACTTCATTAGAGGCCCCGATCCCCCGTCTAAGTGGTCTTCACTTTAATATTAATTAGGCTGTGTAGGAGGTCCGTTCTATTAATATTGATGTTTTGATATCGGTTTTGTGTACTGTTACATTGTCGAAAACGTTCGGTTTCGGAATTTAATATTAATGGTAAAATGCGTAGAATAATTCTTATTTGTACATTGCTATTTAGCGAGTATACACCTAAGAAGGAGTCCTATAAAACTATTGGATATATAAGAACACTAAACAATCAACAAAGTTTGAATATTCTGCATAGTTTCAATACGATTTAGCGAGGAGGAATTTATATTGTGGAGGAATTTAAATTGTCAACGTGCCATTGTTTATTAGGTTCGTAGGGCTTCCGTGTCCTTGCCTGTTAATAACCATGCATTTAAAGTAGCGCTGTTTTCGATAAATTTGATAAATATAGAGGTTGCGTCCGAACATATAGGACACTGAAACGAGTCTTTTAGCATTTGTGTATGGAGTGTAGAGTAGAAGGAGAACCATCTTATAAGGTGCGAAAGTTGAAAAAGTGTCCCACTATATACTGAAAATAGAGGTTCCAAAACCTACCACAATAGCGCTGGTGTCTGAAAAACTACTTTATGAATATAGCTTTTGTAGACGGAGTGAAGTCAGCTGAATTCAAATATTTAAAAAATTTCATGACTAGAGTAGTTACTATATATAAAACCTCAACTATTTACGTAGTACAAAACCAAGCGGATTGGTCGGTCACTGTTTATTTCTCCATCTTATTCTAATTAATTTAGGCGCTTTTTTTTTTTAATTTATCCTATGCTACTGCAGCGCCACCCTTATTGGACACGTTTTTAGGGACACATTTCATATATAGAGATGTCCTCCTTCTACTCTACACTCCATACATTTGTGTTACGCATTCTGTCAAAATAAGCTGTGTTTAGTTTTCATACCGGTAGTTCTACTGCAATACTTTTTGAAATTCAATCCACCAAGAAAATGGTTAATTGCTTTTTTTTTAATGCTTGTAAAGCTACAGTAAATTATGAACTAGCTATAACTTACGCTTACATATTAATATTACTAATCCTGACTATTAAATTCTAGATTGACTATTTTTAAGAGATTCAAAAAAATCTACATACAAAAAAATGTAAAAAGAATTCTAATTAACTGATGTTACAATAATATACATGCTATATACTAGTAGAGCCGTGGTAGCCGAGCATGGGCTAAGCGCTCGCTGTAAATTTCACAGTATGCGAACAACTCTGGTTCGATCCCCGTCGGCACTAATGAAATTGTTAATTGCAATTTTAAGTGCTGATTTACCACGTGCTCAGCGGTGAAGTAAAACCTCGTGAAAAGACCTGCATGTATGAGAAATAAGAAAAAAAAACGGCCAAGTACGAGTCAGACTCGCGCCTGAAGGGTTCCGTACCATCGTAAAACACGTTTGTAATAGGGGAGCGCCCTTTAATTTTTAATTTATTTTTATCATTTGTTGTTATGTTCAACTCCTAAAACGGATCATTAGATACAGCCTGCTGACAGACAGACGGACGGACTGCGGAGGCTTAGTAATAGGGTCCGATTGGTTATCCTTTGGGTACGGAACCCTAAAAAAGGAAAAAAAATATTTCGAAGACATATGAAGTTCGCCAACATGCATAGGGGCAGCGCGGTGGAAATTTCCTTGCCCTTTCGCAAATTAAAGGAGGCCTGTGCTCAGCTTTGGAATGTATATTAGCTGTAACTAACTGGTATATGTATGTAATAAAATATATTTACTAAATGGCTCCTTTTATGCTCAGGAGTCCCTCTTACCGATTTCTACTGCAAGCAGCAGTTCGTGAACAGCTGTGTTTCGATCTGAAGGATAAAGAGAGCTAGTAGCAATTACAAATTCAGAAGCATTCCATCTATGGATAAACAACTGATGATCAGTGAGAGGACAATGAAATTTGCATCCGAGTTGGATTCACTCGTATCATTAATAAATTTCTGCAGGTTCATACAGTCTAACCAAGAGGCTATTACATACATGCATGTGTCGTCTCATATAATTATATTTCAAGCATAGAATAATCAAATGCTCTTCTTTTTTTTCAGGGTATCAGCATGTGTGATATCTATGTTACTTATCGTCTATGGAAGCTTCCGCTCGTTGAATATGGAAAGAGAAGCTCGAGAAAGAGCCGAGAGAGAGAGGGAAGCGTCATTGCTTGGAGGGAAGCCGGTACCCACTACTTCACCAAATAATAGTAAGTTTATTTGCACTAAGTATATGTATTCCACTTGTTAATAGTGGCGTGTAGTGGCGGTCAAGAATTACCACTACCCCATATCTTCCCGTGGGTGTCGTAAAAGGCGACAAAGGGAGGCAGGCAAAAGATGGGCAGCAGGATCTTCCTGATAACAACAAACTTACAATAAAAAAACTGCGGTTGCCAACCCGCTCGCCAAGCGTGGCAACTATGGCAAATACCCCCCTATGACGAGAGTAACAAAGAAACGGCCCCCAGTCCCCGGCGGCCCCGCTATTCCTGGCTACGGTGGCGACCATGGTAACGGCGGGACAGGGGGTGCTAAGAATCTCCGGTAGAGGTTCGGTTGCCACCTAAGACGAATCGACCTGGCAACATACAACGCACGCACCCTGAGGACTGACGAGAAGATCGTGGAGCTGGAAGAAGAGATAGAAAAGTTACGCTGGAATATTATAGGATTATCCGAAGTCCGAAGAGAGGGGGAGGACACGGTAATCCTCGAATCCGGTAACTTGCTCTATCACCGGGAGGGCGACCATCTGTCCCAAGGAGGAGTCTGATTTATCGTCCACAAGTCTCTCGTTAACAACGTTGTAAAGATTGAGAGTGTGTCGATGAGGGTTGCGTACCTTATACCCAGAATCACCAAACGGTATTCGCTGCAGCTCATACAGGTTTACGCACCAACCTCGGCACACCCCGATGAGGAGGTGGAGGAAATGTATGAGGATATCTCTAGAGCCATGCATCCTCCAAAACCCAATATACGGTGTTAATGGGAGACTTCAATGCAAAACTAGGCACAAGAGAGAACGGTGAGCTGAAAGTAGGGAAATTTGGAATAGGGCAACGGCACCCAAGAGGCCACCAGCAGTTGGCCGACTTCTTGGAGAAAGAGGGACTCTTTATGATGAACTCTTTCTTCCAGAAGCGGTCCCACAGGAAGTGGACCTGGTCGAGCCCCGACGGTTCCACAAAAAATGAGATTGACTTCATTATGACGACCAGACGACAACTGTTCAATGATGTCTCCGTGATCGCGAGGGTGAAAACTGGTAGCGATCACCGAATGGTTAGAGGCACACTGAACCTAAACGTTAAGTTGGAGAGGTCTCGTCTAATGAAGTCAACGCTCCGCTCCCCTCGTGCTCTGTTCCAAAGTCCCGAAACCTTTCAGCTCGAGCTACAAAACCGTTTTCAGTGCCTAGAAGGACTGCAATGCAGTGGACGATATGAATGACAAGCTCGTGGAAACTGTCCATGCGGTCGGAGCTAAGTTCTGCAAGACTCGCCGCAGAAGAACACAAAAAATCTCCGATCACACTCTCAATCTCATGGCTGTTAGACGGGAGATGAAGCTACATTCTTCAACAGATTTGACAGCATACAGGCAACTGAACAGACAGATCTCCAAATGCATGCGGCATGTTTAATGTCCATGTCACACCTATGCCGGTAGTTGTTGGGAGCACTAAGCTCGAATTTATTGACGAGTATGTTTACCTGGGATAAATAGTCCGACTAGGTAAGTCCAACTTCGACCGAGAGTTCAATCGACGGATTCAACTCGGCTGGGCAGCGTTCGGGAAACTACGACACATCTTTTCGTCAGGCATACCTCAAAACCTTAAAACGAAATTGTACAACCGCTGCATGTTGCCAGTGATAACTTACGGATCTGAGACGTGGTCCTTCACTGCTGGCCGTATGAGGAAGCTCAAGGTCGCTCAGCGAGCTATGGCGAAGGCTATGCTCGGGGTTTCTCTGCGTGATAAACTTAGAAATGAGTATATCCGCAGTAGAACCAGAGTAACCGACATAGCCCAACGGATTAGTAAGCTGAAGTGGCAATGGGCCGGCCATATAGCTCGAAGAACCGACAACCGATGGGGAAGAAAGGTTCTCGAGTGGCAGCCTCGTACCGGTAGACAAAATGTAGGGCGACCCCCCACGAGATGGAGTGACGACCTGGTAAGACATGCAGGAAGTCGATGGATGCAGATGGCTCAGGACCGTGCTTTGTGGCATTCCTTGGGGGAGGCCTATGTTCAGCAGTGGACTTATGAGAGGCTGTAATGATGATGATGAGGACTTGTTAATAATTCTAGTTATGACCACAATAATGTATTTGAAGGCAATCAGTCGGCACACAATCAACTGTTATACGTGAACGTCTTTATCTATATTGAGAGTTTGCAGTAAACGCCACGTTTGGCAGGCGCATTTGCAATTCTTGTATCCCAGACTGGCGATTGAAAGACGCTGCTTCCAACCGCCAATCCGGGGATAAAGTGGTAGATTCCATCGGAGGCCATAAACTCACATTATAAGGCAATTGCAATCTCATTAAAACCTCTTTAAAACACTACTCGTAAATTGAATATACTGCATACGCATGATAAATGGCTTGTGTCATGTGGAAACCCTTCTACAACTCTAGTACTGTAACATATGGCGTCCTATATTTGATATTACACACTCGGTTAGATTTATTATAATTTGATTATACATATACATATATTTTGATAATACTGTGTATGTATAGATAACATAGGCCTTCCCCATAGATTGCCTTTTAGGTGGGATATTTGCCATAGTTGTCACATTTTGCAGGCAGGTTCAGAAATATCACTACAGACTCCATTCACTCCAATATACAATTACAAAAAAAGACAAATACACACCACAACCTAAGAAATAAACACTAAATTGAGCTCGCTAATAAACGAACTAATTATGTAAGAAAATCAATTTTAAATGAAGGAGTACTATACAATAACTTGCCAAATGACATAAAAGTATGTGACTGATGTTAATACATTTAAAAATAAGCTATAAAAACACGGGTGCATAGATTAATAAATGTTAAAGAATGATTCAAAGGCATAATGTTTAAGGGATTTTAATAAATACTGAGAAAATCTTTTGCAGCTCAAGTAGGCAAATACATATTTAATTCTCGAATTTGATTCTACAACACTCGTTTAAATTCTTGAAAAAATATCAATCAAAAATATATAATTATTGTCACAATATAGTAGATCTTTCAAATCATATAATACCTAGTCAGGTCATAAATTCTGTCACATGTTTAATATAAAATAATTGACACAAGTTTATTCATTATGTAACCATTTATATACCACAATGAACTTAACAAAACATAGATTCTTATGACACTAAAGTTTATTCAAAATGACCTCCGTGATTTTGAATACAGGCCTTCAATCTGCGCGGCCAGTTGTCTATCGCAGCACGAACGAGGTCCATGTCAATATCGGCGGCTGTCTTAATCAAGGATGTCTTGAGTGACTCCAAATTGGGATGAGGCTTTGAGCACGCCTTTTCCTCCAAGTATTGCCATATCTTGTAATCTAACGGATTCAAATCTGGACTGGAGGAGGGCCAGTCTTCGTGCCGGATGAAGTCGATTTCACGCGCCGCCAGCCAGTCTTGCGTGCTCTTTGCTCTATGAGCTGACGCCGAATCTTCTTGGAATACCCAGTGCCTGTTATTGAACATGGTATGAGAAACAGGTTCCACAAGGTTCGTCAGGACTGTATTTTGATACACAACTGCATTCGTTTTTACACCTTTCTCACAAAAATGTACCTCTGTTAAGCCCCAATAAGAAACTCCCAACCATACCATGAGTGAGGATGGAAAATGACCTCGTTGGACACGCGGAATATGGTTGCTCGCTTCTTCACTACTGTGTGCGTACACCTTATCATTTTGTTTGTTGTAGCTCTCTTCTACGGTAAAAATTTTTTCATCCGAAAAAAAGAATTTCCCGATATTTTTTCCCGCGTACCGCTTCAACAAAGTGCGGCATCTCTTCAGTCTCAGGTCCATTAGACGAGCATTTAAACGATGTCCTGTTTTTCTTCGATATGCCCGAAGCCCTAAGTCTTCATTTAACACCCTTTTCACCGTGGTTCTGCTTAACCCCATCTGAAGGGCCAACAGTTTCTGCTTACGTTTGGGATTTCTTTGAATTCGCGCCTTCACAGCTTTTATCACTGCTGGAGTCCTAACAGACCGAGGGCGACCACTTCTTGACCTGTCATCTACACTAGAGTCTTCATTGTATCGTTTGATGGTACGATAAACTAATCTTTTGGTTATATTCAAATTTTTCGGTATGTCAAAAATTTTAATTGGCGCGTAACCGCAACGATGCAACGCAATAACTGCAACACGGTCTTCTTTAAGCGTCCACTCCATATTTAAAAATGAGTAAAATTCTAAAAAGTATAGTTTTATTTTCATGAACAATTCGAAATTCGAATTCAATAAACTTTTTGTGGCCAGCATTCTAAAAGAAAAGTTTTTACTGTGTGACAATACTTATGACCTGACTAGGTATAATTTATAATTATCCTTCATAGTAAATTGCTTCACAATATGTTGATGTGTCACATTGTGTAGTCCTTGGGAGATTTTGACGGCAACTTGAGCCAGCAGACAGCTGATAGTTGGCGATGGTATCTCAACGCGCCTAAGTAGACACACACCTTATCTTAATAATCACATCACCATCAGAGCACTTGTTTCACCGTTTCCACTAATAGTTCACATACGCAGACATTTAATACACAAAATCGCACCACTTTTACATATCAAAATCCACTTCAAACCAATATTTAAACAATAATACAGGAGCAGCAATCCGTCGACGGTCAAGTTCCCGCCAAAACTCCGGTGATTTTAGAAAGCCAATATAATATATACACAGATAAGCTATTATATAGATCGACAGCTAATATGCAGATAGTTTAATTTGTAGTCAACGGAGCATGCTCTGATTCCAAGCCTGTGAATGCTGTTGTGTCAAAAGGCTGCGTCCTAACGCCTACGCCTAAGCATTAGACTAGCCCCTACGTCAGCAGCGTTAGAGGTGGTAGACCGTCACTGCGTTCGATAATCTGCCTACCAAGCGATCCGATTATGAGAAATCTAGCCTTGAATTTGGTTAATATAATATTGTGTATAACCGAAATTGTATATACTTAAGAGTTATCGCTAATTTTTGGTGTATATGATAGAGGATCTCTAAACTGCTTATTGTGACTAGTTAATGCCGGCTCAAAACGCAAAGAAAAAAATTTAAATTAACTTTAGCCATGTGATTATAACAACACTTTTCAGCATTCTCTAGCAGTTTTAGGAACATATTTTGAAATTTTAGTCATTAATTCTAGCACGTTTAAAAGAATGTATCCAGTGTTATCTACCAATGATTGCATGATTGCATGATTCTTAGAACATTATGTTTTCTTATTTTATTTATAATAGAGCCATTACAATTAAGCCTATTCTCTCAATTGTTAGCATCTTGTTAATGAATAAACAGTGTGTAAGATACGTATGACAAGATTGTTGTCTACTCTTATCAAAATGCTTATCTATGTCTTAAAATGTGCAGCCGGCCTACATGGCATATTGTCTCACTGGACTAATTTGGACCACATTGCCTCATTGTCATTTCACGATGTGAAATGCTACGAAATTATCATTACTAAATGGAATTTTGTTTCGGATTATTTCAGATGTACAAACACTAAACACAATGCAGGCGCTGTGTTTCCCGCTGGGCTCCTCTGTGGCGTTACTCATTATGTTTTTTTTCTTTGACTCCATGCAAACGTTGGTGGCAATATGTACAGCAAGTAAGCTATTTAAAATACTATTATACGGTGATTGTATTTGTAAGAAGTAAATATGATTATGAAGAATTTTTTAAATTACCTTATAAAGCTTTTCAGGTATATTTAAGAGTCTCATGCTTTATTGACTGAGCTAGCCATGCTTGACGCTAATTAATATTGTTACGACCTTGGGGTTCGAGACAATTAAAAACTGCCGATTGAATTACCAAAATTGACACTTTAATCACAGAACACTAATTACAACTTAAAACAACACTAATAATAAAACACAATTGTACTACGGATCACTTTAGTTTGCAGTTCTATCGCTTCGAAGTATTCGCTTATATCGCCAATTCAATACTGTCTCGGTCGCGGTCTATACCGGCCTTATATAGGGCCTCAGTTATGTTTTAGAACCTTCTACTATAGAAACATCTAGAATGTTCGAGTTCATATCGGTCCCGATATTTCTAGAAGGATCTAGACTCTCCTAGTTCTGCTACTACGATATTAGAGGGCGCTAGTGATAACTAGGGTTGCCATGTACAAGACATTAATAGTGGCGCGCAACAATATCAAGACTAATCAATATAATATAATGCGAAAGTCATCAATATAATATATTTCTCTAAAATGTGCCTTTCACCTTATGCGCAATCTAGGCTTACATAGAGCAGAAACATGCCAGTTGACATTTTCTGCCAGTCAACCTATGATGTGCTGAAATGTAGTAGCTCATGCTCGCACATAAACTAAGTGAGACAATTAAGATAGCTTCTCTCTTACCAAGATTAAGTGGTTGTCTTTGGTAGTTACTTTTTACTTCCATCCTGCCCAGGCTTAATTATTCATGTGTATTGTTATATAAATTGGAGTTAAAGGGTGTTGTATCCCTTTTGTTATTTGTTCTCGACGCCTTCTTAGTTTTGAAGATGAAGTACCTGTCTATCCTTAGGCTGCACATAGAAAGTGGACATCCACTCACAAGTCTATGGATGTCTTAATATGGGACATAGAGGTAATATTGACGCCATTACTAATGGTGATTTTCGGTCGTTTAAAGTTAATTTTTTATTTTGCAGTAATAGCGTGCGCGGCGCTGGCGTTCCTGCTGACGCCGCTGTGCCAGTACGTGGCAGGCAGTGCGGGTCTCGGCGCGGGGTCGCGAGCCGCTTGCGGCCGCTACTCGGCGCCCGAGATGGCAGCCGCCCTGCTGGCCGCCGGCATCGTCGCCGTGTGGGTGCTCACCGGACACTGGCTGCTCATGGACGGTGAGTCTACCTCTTCTTATATACTACTGGGCGGGCACTACAGTACTAATAATACATTGTGCACTAAGTTAGGGTCAATTCTCCGTAAATTCTTTAGTCGACTGCAAGCAGGCGAGAAGACTGGTTCTTTGTTTTGTAAACCGCAAACGTTGTTTTCGAAAACCTAACACTGTTTTTGTTTAATGTGACTAAGAAAGCGCTGTTTTTATTTATTTCAGATAAGTATGTAACATTATTTCATATTTGCCTAAAAACAGTAACTAGTGAAAATTTAAATACAACTGCGTGACATATTTACCGTGCCAGCTGTCTGCACAGCCGGCGCTTCTGCCCGCGCCCGCGCGATCCAGAACGTTGACACAGTTTTTGTCTATGCTTTTACTATGATGTCATCAACTTGTGATATTGTGTAGTGTACCTTTTACTGCGGTATTGTCGCTGTCATTAATAGACGAGGCTCAGAAGGGCTAGAACCCAGAGCCGTAAAGCCAGTTAAAAAAAATGTTAATAGACGCCGAGTATACTTCAATATTTAATAATGTTATTAACTATCACTTGCCTCATTTTTTCAGTTTTCGAGCCCTCAAAAAGTTTAATAAAATTAGAAATTAGATAAAATGATAATAGTTTGTTCTTTTGGTTTCAGCGATGGGCATGGGTCTATGCGTGACATTTATAGCTCTCATCCGGCTGCCGTCACTAAAGGTATCTACGTTGCTGCTGACTGGTTTGCTGCTATATGATGTCTTCTGGGTTTTCTTCTCTTCCTACATATTTACCACAAATGTTATGGTGAAAGTAGCTACAAGGTCAGTTTTCATAAATTCATTTAGATCGTAATTATTATAAGATTTCGTAAATAAGTGTGTTCGCGCCAAACACTTTCAAGGATTGACGCGAGTGGCGCGCGGGTCGCGAGTCAAAAGGCTCAGTAGTCAGTCGTCTGTAGGCAGTGCTAATGATTGGCACGCTGCCAATTAAGCGCGGGAACTCGGAATAATTAACCGCGGACAGTAAAAATACGGTCTAGGAATTTGTGGCGCGTATCCCTACTGGAGACCTTCCCCAGGACTTATTGGGTCCGACTCAGAATCTGTATAAGTGCATTCGACAATATTAGTTAGATCGGCCTCTGATATTCGAGAACGAACTGTTGCAACGCGAAACGGTAGTGACCTTTAATCCAAAACCTCCGTGCGTGTTTTGTGCGGTAACCTTATACCCAGCGATAGTTAGTGGCTTCTGTAAGTTAGTTAATCGTACGATAGAGTTAAGTGACTGTTATCGTGACGAACAAGGAAAGTGAATGTGGACAAAGCCTTGGAGGGCCCCCTCAAGTTGGAGCGGTGTCGACGCCCGGGCTGCTGCCGACGGCTAAGGTCTAGGTTCAATCACCATCAGTCACACCCAGATACACACCACATCACCTTCTTTTCCTTGCACTACACAACCACATGCGACCTGACCGACTCCGGAGGGACCAGTCGCCTTAGAAATAGGTAAGTAAGCTTCGTCCAATTCCTTCAGGTCGACTGGCCGTTGTATAGAACGCTCCCCCATAAATTTTTAGTGTACTTAGAGAATTTCCACGTGGCCACATTGAGCCCGACCTACGTCTGCTCGGGAAGTCTTCAGCTCATGGGCCCCTGAGGATCTGATCCTTTAAGGGAGCAGCCGTAGGCCGTAACAAAGTGTGTATGTGTAATATTTCTTATATCGTAAAATATTTCTAAAATACTATACGCGCAGGATAACAATAGCGAGATTTTACCAAATGTAATTTTAGGAATTTTTTTTTTTTGAAAATTGCGAACAAATCTATATGTTTCTTAGCTGGACAGTCTTATTCTTATCCCGTGGGCATAAGACACTACGACTATTCTAAGAACTGCTATAAATTTATAATTTGTTATTAAACGATTTCTGCAAATCTGAAAAAATAAATTATTAAAATAAATAAAAAATTCTAATAAAATGTTTTCACGACTATTTGAAATAACATTTATATCGAAAAAAATGTGAGATAAATAAATTAATCTAAAGAAAAATGTTAATATTGTGAAGTTTTACTACAGGGATGGCTGTTTAATTTATTTCGGTTAATAAATTATATTTTATTAATTAAAAAAAAATACGAATCTGAAATTTTACCTGTGACTCAGGTTAATTTAAGAAAATTTAATTTAAAAAAATGTGTGTGTGTGTGTGTACTTAGGTAGGAAGTTATACTTCTTTAACGTAACAAAACAAAAATAACTACCTTAAGGCGACACCGCGAAAAAATGCGCCTCCTTTCATCGAATAGTATAAGAGACACGACTAACTAAAAACTGGAATTTTGATATAGGTGAATTCATGTCTTTATATTGAATTTACTTGTTCAAAAACACGATTGTAATATTTTGACTCGATCATAGTTATTTGCGAAAACACCTCTAAAAATCACTAAAGTTGAAATTACAACGAAATTACTGAATCTATATGCTTGGGAACCACTCAAATACATTCATTACATCAATATTCTTAATTTACTTGCTCATTATTTTGATAACTACAATCAATAATTTTTTAAAAATATTTTAAAATTCTTAGCGATTTCTAAGCTATCTTAATCGTCGCGGGCGCTACGCAATTTTAGACCTTATGACGGCTTTTTTGAAGTTTTTATAGAAATTATGTTTCACTCGGGTCAGTCCGGCGATAGCTCGCTTCAACGGTTTTCGATGTGTCGCCTTAAATATAGTTATCAGTTCCCACGAAAACTTGAGAGACAGTTACCCAATGAAGTTGTCGCTTTGAAGCAACAACTTCATGGTGTCGTTTTTAGCTGTCGGTGTACGCGCGCATCTTAAATAATTCACTCTCATAATTTTTCCTAAACGCTCCAAAAGAAGTAATTAAGTAAGTCGTTAATTCAAAAGTGTATCCAGCCATTGCTGAGAGATTATTGAGAGGGCTGGTTTTTTTCTCGCCCAAAGGCATTACAACAGCATAAATAGTGCATATTTATGTTATTGTATAAGTATATATTTCCTAATTCTCTAAAACATGTAAATATGTTTTCAATGGTTTGATATAACCATTATGGACTTTAATAGTAGACATTTTTTGGTAAAGGCCGGCTGAGAATCCCATGAATGTAGTGGCGAGGAGATTGCAGCTAGGAGGCGCTATGCGGGACGCACCAAAGCTATCACTGCCTGCAAAACTTGTATTCCCTTCTATGCATCATCAAGGACACTTTTCCATGCTTGGTAAGTTTACCTTTGAATACATTAAAACCTATGGGAAGGTGGGAACGTATGGAGTGATAGTTTTGCTAATGCTGTAACGGCATCGCTAGTAAGAACATATTTAACTAATGATAAATAATTATGTATTATTAGTTAAATCTGAACATGTTCATAAGTTGTTCATAGCAGCTGTCTTGCAAGCTATATGGGCTGTCAAAATAACAATGTTTTATCACCATCTGCCCATAAATTGTACTGTTCCTAAAAAAGTATATGTCATCGTTCAATTATCTGAATTATATGTCATAAAGTGTGTTACATCAGCACAGTTTGTTTTGGATGAGTTGGTGTTTCAATAGTAACACATATTTGAGTCGCTAATTAGTCGAAATGAGTTCAGGAAGACATCTTACAGAAAACTTACAGGATAACTAATATGTTTTTGTTTTTACGTTACTCTCAAACAAAGAATATTTCCTGTATCATGGAGGTTTTACTCACATAAATTTCACAAGGAGAAATATCCAGACATAAAACAATAATTTGCAGATCATACAAAAAGTTATTTTCAAGAGGCAATCCAATTCACAGAATACCAGCATAACATAGCAGCTTAATGCTGCTGTGTTTCGTATAGTTAGTGTAGAGAACCAGAGACCCTTCTTACTTGAAATTAGGTATTCTATCTTAGTCCTCAGTGGTGACATTTTGATTCTTAATCGAAGATAAATGTAGATGTATATAGGCCACAGCAACCGCTTACAATCAGGTGGAATGTTCGCTCATTTGTTACCCATATTCTATAAAAAAATTATCTCGCTACGGCCAAACGCTTGGGCACTGCGCTACAGCTACAGAGCCGTGTAATAATAAAAATGGTGCATTATTCTAGGTCTAGGCGATATAGTAATGCCGGGTCTGCTGCTGTGTTTCGTATTGCGCTACGATGCATACAAAAAGGCTACATTGGTGTGCCAAATGGGGCAGGTCCCTGGCCCTAGGTCAATGGTATGTATAGTTCATTAGATATTAATCTCTCTGATAACTTATCCAAGCAACTTCTTGTCAAGACAAGCCAATTAGTCTGTTACATATTATACAACTCTCTCCCATAAATGTTACATTGTGTAGTGTATTATGGGTAGGTTAGGACGAGTGACTTTATACATATTGTTTTTATTATTATTAAAAAATAGTGGTAACTCTTATTTACTGTCCAGTTTCTTTTTAAGAAGTAGTAATAAAAATATAATTGGTAGTGTTTAAAATAAGTCTAATTACCAACTTAATAGTAATGTGGAATTTGTTTTATCATATTTTTAAAGGAGTTTATTAATTTATTTTATTAATAATTATACATATATTTAATGAAAGACGTTATAAAACTACCAACAATGATAAATCTATTGTAAATAGAGTTGGAATAAAATACTTTTAGGCTGTTAATTTATTACTTTCAATGTTGAATATGATCTATGCAGAGGCATCTGAGGTTCTGACTACAGAAAATTTTTGTGCTTTTGAAGTGAAAAATTTATAAGTCATTTATTTGTTCATTTTAACCTCAGGGTTCCCGATTGACATACTTCCACTGTTCTCTATTGGGCTACTTCCTCGGTCTGCTGACTGCGACAGTCTCGGCCGAGGTGTTCAAAGCAGCGCAGCCGGCTTTGCTGTACCTCGTGCCCTTCACGTTGCTGCCGCTGCTCACCATGGCCTACGTGAAGGTATGTTTGAACTGGTATTATTATCCAGCGAAGATTGTACAGACAGTATTGCATTTCACCCTGGCATTAATAATGCTACCTGTCTAAAGTAAAAGTTATTATATACCAGCCATCCTCTTTCTGGATCTCGACAACAGAACTACATACCGGGTCCAATTGTAAATATAAACCATCCAGGAATCCACTCAAATGCACACAAAAAATTTCTTCGTTCAGCCATTTTGGAGTTTTAGCGAGACTAACGGACAGCAATTGATTTTTATATATAGAGAAGATGTATACAGGGTTATTTTTCAAAGAGTAGCCAAATTTTAAACTTAAGTTCAAATATATACATAACTATATACCATTATTGCAATTTTTGAAAATACAAGTAAATAAGGTTTCTAACTTTATTTGAAATTATCCCAAATTGAATGTTTTTACCTACCGATCGACCCTTACGAATGTATGCGTGCGCAGTAAAATCAGTTAAAATAATGCATTACCACGCATTTTGCATTTAAAAGATAAAAAGGACAGAATGTTTGAGATTTATTTTTAATTAATTTCTCTTCACCATTTGCCTATATTACTTATTCTGAACCTTCTCTGCAAATTTGGCCTTATATTGCAAAATAACCCTGTATAGCATATCTAAGCAAATGAAAGTTGAGCTCGTCTAATGTCAACTGAACATTTTATAATAAATCGTTATAAAAGTTGTGTCTGTAAATCAAATATTAAAAAAAAAACAAGTCTAGGTAGTTAAATAAACGATACAGAAAACAAATTAGTGATTTTTAAAATTTTTATCTTTTTTTGTCTACTGGACGTATTTCATTAATTCTAACATTAATCTTCTACCTGCATATCTCGCAAATTCGAATTGGAGCAGTAGTGTTTTATCTTCTTCACAACTCTATAAATGAAAGGTGGTTTGAACAGCAATATAGACTGGTAGTAGTAGGCTTTACTTTTAATAACATGTTTTTTTTTTACAGGGTGATCTCAGAAGAATGTGGAGCGAACCGTTTATAACACCGAACGGAAAATCAGGTGCGGACTTCGATGTGTGACCGCCTCGAATGTGTCGCCCGCTCTGTACAATCGCATCACATCGTTGCATTCTCCTTGTAGCCGATCGTGTTTAGAGATGTTTTGTTATAAGCGTTTTGTAGAAGTTTGCAGCGGAAAGGTCAGTTTGTTAACTCATCTCGAATATGATATTATTTAATTTTGCTATGACAGTGTTGCCTGACATGAATTATATCTAATGTAAAAATCTGCGTAATGTACTATATTTTTTTAATTTAAATGGTAAAGTTTATCTATCAGAACACTAAATGCATTTTTTTATTCATCGTGATCTTTTCTTGTATATATCAAATTAAATGAAAGCTCACTATCAATTGTGTTAGATTACGAATGTATAAAAAACTTCTTATTGAATTCTTTCATAAGTCCCCCTTTCCACTGCTGACTGACCAAAAGGTTTTATACTAAGTACTCATGAATTATTTGTGCACTCACTGAATGTTGGATTTAAGTGTCAAAAAGTTTTTACATTGATCTGACTGTGTATGTTTATTTTGGCCTTAGTGGGAATTAATGTGTTTATGATAATGTTAAATATTATTATAAGAGCATAAGATGTATGTTTTAGGTTAGTGGATGTGCTTTGTTTTTTTTTTAGATATAATTATGAGAAGGCAAGTTACACAGGGTAACTTTGAGATCAATGTCTAATTATATGTTGTTACGGTCTAAACCAGTGTGCAATGGTGTGGTTTTTGTTTTAAAACCATTTGTAGCAATGAGTTCAATTACGGAATCTAAATAATCAGATATGATCCAATGCTGCTTCTCTTGTGGGGAATAAAAATGTTGCCAACTCTCACTTCAAAATCCCCCAAGCCGTTTAAGCTACTGGAGGGTCACAAAGAAATGCAAAACTACATACTAAATTAACCATCAAAACTGTTTATTCCTTCTGCAGAGAAGTATCTGCTTTATGGTTTTCAGACATTATATGTTTATCGTGTTAAAATACAGCGTTTATTGATAAATATGAGAATAATATCTAAAAATGAATTTGCGGCTTATTTTTTATGGCGCAAGCATTTTAAACACGCGAAACTGGTTTATTGATTATTTTCTACACACACTCTTACTTCCTTAAAGGAGAAGTAGCATTTTGCAACTGAACAATTTATACCTTGTCCAAGGAGTAATAATTTTTGGACTTTGAATGTTAAGCCTAGTATACAATCACGAATTGTGCAACTTGAACATGAGAGATCAGTGCCAAATGGTTAAGGCTTAACAATTATAATTCACATCGTACATCATTTAAATTTATTATTTTTTTAAAAACATACAGTGGACCCTCGATTTATCCGCGCGTTTCGTGTGATAGGGAGACCCGCGTTATATAGAGCTTCAGCGGAACGAAATTTGTTCGAAAATGTCTTTACTTCAGCTCGCTGTATCGTGTAGTGGCGGTGTAAGAATATTCACTACTCCATATAATCACGTGGATGTCGTAAGAGGTGACAGAAGGAAACCAATCGGCAGATGAAAGCAGCAGCGTCTTCCTAATAACGACTAAAAATAAAAAACTGCGGTTGCCAACCCGCTCGCCAAGCTTGGGAACTATGGCAAATATCCCCACCTTTGAGGCCATCTATGAGGAGATCTATATTCAGCAGTGGAGTTTAATATTCTTCAATGGTAAAGTTAACTTCAGCTCGTATAGTCCACTGCTGGACATGAGCGTCTACTACTGCCATTGTAGGGATTTGCTACAATCATCACGCTTGGCAGGCGGACGGATTGATGATCACAGTACAAGATGTCTTGCATCTGTGATATTTTACGCCTGCTGTAGGAGACTATTAAAGATGGTTATTTTGCTTTTTATCTGAAGTCATAGGATTTTTCTGATCCCGCCAACACCGATGTAATTGCAAATTGCAGTTAAATGATTCATTACGTGCTCAGCGGCGAAGGAAAACATCGTACGGAAGAAACATGTTTATTGTATAGGTTGTAATTTTACTTTTTCCGCCATAGTCACCTCGTACAATACGAATGGGTTGGATTCTTTACGCTACTACCTCGCTGTACGATCTAGTTCGTCTGAATTCATCATCATCATCATCATCATCATCATCATCGTCATTACAGCCTTTCACAGGTCCACTGCTGAACATAGGCCTCCCCCAAGGAATGCCACAAAGCACGGTCCTAAGCCACCTGCATCCATCGACTTCCTGCATGTTTTACTACGTCACTCTATCTAGTGGGGGGGGGGACCTCCCTACAATGCCTACCGGTACGAGGCTGCCACTCGAGAACCTTTTTTTCCCACCCATTGCCACTTCAGCTTACCAATCCGTTGAGCTATGTCGGTCACTCTAGTTCTACTGCGGATATCCTCATTTCTAAGTTTATCACGCAGAGAAACCCCGAGCATTCTGGTTACGATGGCCTTAATTCTGATACATCTACACACACAAACACTCACGCCTGTCACCCAGAGGGGTAGGCAGAGACTACGGACTTCCATTTGGCGCAATCCTGACACCTCTCTCGCCTCCTTTACATCCATATATTTCCGCATACACGCTCGACGGTTAAGGGTACTCCTAATCTGGCCCATTTTCAATGTATCGCCGATTTGGTCGATAAACCTTCAGCTATGGCGTCCCTTCCCGAGTCTGCCGTTCACTTCTGCAACATAAATTTGCTTTGTTTGGTCATGTAGAAAGAATGAACGCGAAAGAGTGATACATCTAAACTATGTTAAATACAATTGCGTGCCTTACATTACCATTACACCCTATCAAAAGTGCATTTCCGAACATAGGCCTCCCTCAATTACAACAAAACAGAATAACCAAAAAAATAATCATTTAATAATTGACTAAGAAATTGATCTTGAAATATTACTTAATATTATATAAACAGTAAAACAGTAATGTTGTATTGTTTACTGTTTTTAAAAAGTTTGTAATTTTTATTGTATTCTCTTCACTTTTGTTGATATTTATAAGCTTATAAGAAAACCGTTGAATAAACGCTTACCCTTGTACTTAAAATTGAAAAAAAAAAGCAGCGCAAGGCGTAATCCGTACTGTTACTATTGAAATCATGTTCTATTGGTTAGTTTTTACATATCGTGCATGTTGGTCACACCAACAGCCGCGTCGCGTGCAGCGGTATAACGAGGGTCTACTGTACCTAAACACCATCGAGAATAGAATTCTAAATAAATTGGATGTGTAGCGAGCTGAATCTCAAAAACTCCTTAAATCATGATACTTCCTTTAAATATCTTTGTAGGTTTTCTATTATAATTTTTCATTATGAACAACGTTTTATAATATTGTTTTATGATCAACTATGTTATTATCACTGCCTTGACTGATGTTTTCAATGAAATTATTCTATTTGTTGAAAAAAGTATTATAGAAAAATATATCCTTTATATACATATAAAAGACACGACAAACCATTGTTGTTAACTCTAACAACTCTATTTGTTGTTTTAAATTATTTGATTAAATTTAATGAAAGACGTTATGTTAGATTTAAGTGAAATTAAAAATATTTGGTATGTGTGTTTTGAGGTTAATAACTTTTTATATTAATTTTCGATATTTTTTTTTACAAACTATGTAACTATGAATAGTTAAGTTTAATGTGTAAATTTTATAATTACATTGAACAGTATTTCCTTGTATAACAAAAGTGATATAATTTAATTGAGGCTTGTGTTTCTATACATAAATGTAATATGTAAGTTTCAATTCAAACTTGTATCCTTCCAACCAAAACCCTTCCTACCGTAATCCTGATTAATATTATGCCAAGATTAAGTCAACTACAAATGAAAAATAATTAATGACTTAAGGAGCTAAAGCCTCCGATCGGATAACATAGGTACCAATTCATCACTAAATCTAAGCGTAAATAAAATCAGAATGCGCTCGGGAGGATTCTGGCTTAAAGGACACTTTAAACTTACGATGTGACAACACAAGCGATTGATGATTGCGTTTATGTATATGAAATTAAATGTTTGATGTGTCAGAAAAATAAATTGAAATTAAGATCTCCTGACCATTCTATGCCTTTAGTATATACTTGGTGTATTGAAGAGAAACCACGTTCTTCGGGTTGAAATCATATGACTAAGAGTATTTTTTAGATACTTATATAAAAATTGTAAACTGTTTTCCATTGTACATACATAAAGTTAATTTCAATTGATGTTACATGATTCATATCACTGTTCCGTTGCATCACAGCTCTCAGTGTGTAAATATTTCCCACACATGAAATTCTACTTACCCACAAAAATGGAAAAGCATTTAATATTTTTATAAGTATATGCGATTTTGCTAATAATACCTAATAAAAATATTAGATGAAATATTTGACGTCTTTTATTTGCAGGCTCCTAACAAGTATTAAGTGTGATATTCAATAAATGGCTGAGGTAGCGGCTTGTGGGGCCTCGACTACTACACTTATGACGTTTTAACTATATGGAAAATCAATTTTTCATCATTTTAACCTATACAAATTAAATATAAATTGAAGTTCCCCCGTGGAGAGTATATAAATACCAGTAAGTGTTTTTCTAAAGCAGAAAATGATCCTACCTGTATTCCACTGAGAAGATATACTCTCTCGAAGCACATTGCTGGTGGTAAACTTTGATTCCTTTTGTTTTGTTATCTCCATTTCAATACAATCCCTACGGATGATAGTTCTATCATGGTGTTAACAATATTTTCGAGATGTTAGTAGCAGGACAGAATATATAACATTACAATAACAGAAGGATCACTCTCATAGCAGATTTGCGAGTTTAAACCTAGTTACAACTTCGCTAATGTTCATAATACTTTGCACGCCTCAGACACGACCTTCGTCAAATTAGCCTACAGATTAAATCGTCGAACAAAAATTATTACGGCGCGCGTGTTAAATCAAAATGCACTTTACGTCCGCGTGCGAATCTGTATCACTTAGCCTGTTACGCGCCTTTGTTAAGGCCGCACCAACC